ACTTCCGTTTGGCCGTGCCATTGGCTTCGAAGCATAAGACATGATTCGATACAGACCTCGCAACCTTCCATTATGATACCAACTATTGAGGCCAAAGGCCTTCGACAGCTGCTGCGGCATCAAGGTCCCCCTCGCGGCACGCCCTCGAAAATCTTGGCTGCCCGATTACGAAGATGCTACGGGCATCTGCCCCCTTTTCCCATATCAACAGCTCCCGCCAGAATCCTAATTCCACGAAATGGGCTGGACATATCCACGAGATGCATGTCCCAGTCGTATAAGCTCAGCTTCGACACCTCGGCCCCTGCGATCGAGTCGCACTCAGATCAATCTGCCGACGCGCATCTCGCAGATTTGCTACGAGCGGTTCAATCACAGGATACAACCCAAATAGTGAAGAGCGTCAAAGGCCTAGCATGTCACCCACGAGCCATTGAGGCGGCAGACGCGTTGCAAAGGCTGCCGCCGACTACATTTTCGGAAATCGTGCGCTCCCTAGACCCCTCTCGCGTCGGCCCTCGCAGCAATGCAACCCACGGTTCGCGTATCGAGAATGGACTTGGCCAGTACAGCTCTCTTGCCTCGGTCGCTGATCGGTTTGGTGTTCCCAAAATATACAAAAGCACCTTTCAGTCATTGCGTACGCTATTCGGTCTACGATCCTACCATGGCAGCGAGCCTTCTCGACTCGACTACGTCGTTCTCTTAAGATGCGCCGGTGCCGCATCTGATGTCCAGGCTGCCAAGGAAATTTGGGATGTGACGAAGGGGGAGGAAGATAGCCACCACAGGAATGGCCAGGACTATACCGAATACTTCAAGACTCGATTTCTCACAGACCCAGCCTACTCGCACAACGATAAGGCCAGGCTGCGAGTGCGACTCCGTGATTTACATGGCCGTAGGAAGAACATTAAAGACACCCGGATGTTGTGGCCCCTCGAGAGACTGAGACTTAGCCTTGTTGCCAACAGGAGGTTCACCTACGGCCGTGCTAGTTGGGAACCGACTCACGACTTACATCGCCTCCTCAGCTTGCCCGCCCCTGTCGGACGACTAAATGCATTCATCCGCAAAAAGCACAAAGTGGTGGACGAAGAGTACTACTGCGCGTACCTAGTAGCCTGCGCACGCGCTGGCTCAGTCAGGGAGATGACTCGAATTCTCTATAAAGTATGGGGCATCCTCATCACCGACAGAGATCATCGAGCAGCAACGATTGTCAAGGCCAACAGGGCGGACAGTATCAGGCGAACACCGACGCCAACACAGCCTCTAATCAACGCCATCGTGCAGTCTTTCGGTTGCACTGGTCATGTCATTCTAGCCAGAAAACTAATCGAGTATATCTCTGCAGAATGGGGCATCCCTATACCGCCAGATACCTGGTCGTCGCTCCTGGAGTGGACCTACCTAATATCTTCTAAACCGGTCACCCGAGAGTACAAGACTATGAGCGACAAAAACAGGGTCGTTCGGTCCAACGACGTGTTGGCTGTATGGGACGCCATGACGGCCAATCCCCATCTGGGAAAGCCCGGCTTCCGTGACCTTGACATTTACACTAGGTCGCTGGTTGCTTCTGGTAAGCTGGATGAGGCTTGGGACTCCATCAGACATACATGCGCCGAGTACGACTCACTTTGCAAGGATGTCGAGGCAGCTCTGTTTGAGACCCTTTTTCCATCGCCACCGCCAGCTTCAATATCTCGTCACCATCGACTAAAAGCACAGCAACACATGTCATGGTACTCCATCCAACGCTCGTGCCAGCAATGGTTGCGGCAGGCCAGCGTACGCTTACGCCGCGAGCCCGCGCTGGGATCCCAAATCATCCCTGACTTTGTCAACGATTTTCGCCGTTTTCTCCCTGATCCGATTACGTACTCGACGTATGGAGGCACTGTCAGAATCCTGAACCAAGACATCGCCGCGCCCAAAACCAAATGGGTGAAGCAGATTGTTCGCTCCGAGCCAACTCGGAGACTGGCTCCCGATCCAAGCCGGCCAAAGGTTTCTAAACCAGACGGGGCTGCGGAGGATGCGGAAGCTGTACCCATTGTCACCGAGGCGGGCGACCCAGTGTATGAGAGCATGACGATTACCCTCAGACGATCAACACGAAGAATGGTCCGCCAACGAAGGGAGGTCAGATTTGGAGAGCAAGAGAATCGTCTACGATTTGAGCTTGGCAAGTCGGCAAGTCAGGGGGTTGTGAATGAAGGTGAGGCGATTAGCACGGTTGAAGCTCTGAATTCGCAACGGTTACCACAGACCGGTCCCCTATTCCGAAAGGAGGTCTTAAAGGCCTTGGTGTGGTAGATGGCAGAAGGCGATCCATTTGGCAAGAGGAATCTGGAAGACATGTCGAGAGGACCCTGTCTGGTAGATGGACTCCGATAGATGATTCAATGAATTGAACTCCAATGTCATGGGAAAAGATTTGTGTTCTGATGCGTTGCTACTGCAATACTTCTATCAATTGGGTACCGATGAATAATTGGAGATGTAATCTGTTCCCATCATCTGGTGTACCTCGTCTTCATTCTGTAACTGCAACGCTGATGATTTTTGTACCTCCGGCGATATATGTTGGTATCTACCCAAAGCACGTGGAGTCCATGCAAAAACGCCTGCTCATGATCAAGGGGGTGGTGGATGGGGGAATATGAGATGCTAGGTAGGATATGCCTTGTTTTCTTTTTCAATCCATGCTTTACCATCAACTTCTCTTTGCTCCTCCCCCTCTTTTTTCTTCTCACTCTCGTGACTAAGATATCCCATACTTTTGCGCAGCTTACTTACGCCTTGGTCTCCTCTTCGGCCTCGACCTTTTCCAGCCGCAAGTCGTTGAGGACCATGTACCTGCTCAATGAGATCCATCCATAGCGGAACCAGACCATCTGGCTCTTGTGCGCCGTGGTCATTGCGCTCCACGCCGTGGCCCAACCGCCCTTTGCGCCCAGCTCGCTGAGGAACACGAGCGCCGTCGGGTGGTAGTTGTCGTCTTCCTCGTCCTCGTCATCGCTTTCGTCGTCCTCCTTCTTTGGCTTCTTGGGCGGTTTCGGGGGGTTGCTGCCGGCCGTGGTTGCCCAGGAGAAGAGCGTGGGGATGGCGTCGAGGAAGTTGGTGTACTTGCGCGCAAAGGGGACCGAGGTCAGGGTATAGAGATCGACGGGGGAGGGCCAACGCGGGTTGGTAGAAAGGGCGGCGATAAAGGCGCGGGCACCGTGGTATAGTGAGATGTGGTTCGGGTGGGAAGAGACGCCGGTCGAGTCAAAGGTGATGAGGACGTCAATGTTGGCGTCGGGTTCCTCGCCAGCGGCTCGCTGGCGGGCGAGCTGCGGCGCAAAGGCGCGGCCGAGGAGGGTAGAGATCTTGGTCTTGTCCCAAACGTTTGTCATGGAGTCTTGAAAGTCGCTGGAGGTGCCGGGAGGCGGTCAGATTAGCTCGTCCAGGGTCTGGAGTGGAGTTGAGGGGCAGTGGGTTAGGAGGGGGAATTGCTCACGGGCTGTCAATGACGAAGACGTCGTGTTCCTGCTGCAGACCGAGCTTCATGCCGCTCTTGATCAGCTCCTTCTTGCGAGTCTCGCCCAAGCCGTCGGCGTTGCCTATACAGTTGCCCCTCTTGTCAGCCACGGCGTCCTTTTGCCCCTGCAACAATGCCCCCAAGAAGTTTGCTGACCTGAACTCAAACACAGAATCTTGACATGATTGCCTGTATCCGGTTTGGTGAGGGCCAAAACTGTTGGCGCAAAGAACATGGCTTCATCATCCGGGTGTGCAATCAAGAGACAGATGCGTTTGTTCTCCAGGGTTGGGAGTCTCGGCGTGATCAACGGGACCAGGTATATATACAATGCAGGCGCAACAGCCACCAGCAAGGCGCCGAAGAGCATTATCCAACCCATTGTCAACTACAATTGTCGCAAATTCCAACACCGGGCCGCTCTGGTATACGATATCGTTTCGTTGGTGAGGAGGTTTCGAGTTCCCCAAGGTGGGGTTATTTTCGGGAGGAGTATTTCGAGGATGCGGTGTGGCGTGTGTCGGCGAGTCGCAGCCTCGCGCAGAAAGATGACGGGTCCGAAGAGGTCGCAAAAGGTGTATGCTGAGACGGAAGAGTTCTCAGAGAAACCCAAGAGAGTCGCAAAGCAGCACTAGATACTCGATGGAGGTCACGAGGCAAGCAGCATCGCGCGGGAAAGAAGAGCAGAAGCGTGAGATGCCACCTTGCGATTTTGGGGGACCCTGGTCTAATCTCGGAGGAGCTTCTTAGCGACAACGGGTGGTGGTGGTGGTGGCTGTCAATGGTGGTGTGGGTGGTCGCAAATAGCGGGAGACGATCGGCTGGGAAATTGGATGAGCTGGGGCCCGGGCGATTCGGTGCCTCGCTCACTCACGCTGCCTCCCGTCACCACCTCAGTTCGGTCATTCTGTCGCAACTGGCGCGCCATCTGCGCCGTCGGTGTGTGGTCGCACCCGTTCCCTTCCCGAAAATGCAGGCGGTGACAGATCCTCGCGGAACGGGGCCCTGACAACACTAAATCCGCCCTGAGGGGCGAGCGACGCCTGGCAATTGGCCCTCCGGAGCAATGTGTCAGGCGACAGGGCATGGCCGCATGGGTTCGTTTGGTCACTGGACCGATGTCCTGCAGCAGGGGCCAGGGGAGCTTTCTACCTTTTATTTTCCAGGTGCAGGACTTCCCTGACAGCTGGTGAGCTCCAGCTACTATACCTTATGGGCTGACGGCGGGACAAGGAACTGTCAAACTGTAAACTGTGTCTTTGTCAGCCAACCTAAGCAGCTCAGCACGCGACCAGACGAAGACATCCGACGACAACATACCTTGCAGCTGCCACTTGGCTGCATCTCACAGACGGAGAGACCTCTGTATTGGCATCGCCGAAGCTTGAGGTGTCCCTGAGCGGATTGTCAAAGGACGGCGAGGGAAAAGTCTCAACCACGGCTCATCGAGTGTTCACTCGCAACCTTAAACATGGCCAAAAAGGGGACCAAGGAAAAGAGGGTGAAGGATCCTAAAGGCATCCCCCTTGCCCAGCCTGATCGGTCAGCTCCCAGCGAAGCCACTTTGCTGCAGATGGCCCAAGATCGTGGTCTTTTCAAGCAGGCCGACAAGGACCCGCGGAATAAGAATTTACCCAAGGGTGCTGTCCGAATTGACAGGCCGGGTAGCGAGGATAGTGACGATGATGAGGACGACGAAGAGGCCTTGTTGTCTCCCTTGATGGAGCGCATCATGGACACACTGCTCTGGACTGTAAGTCTTGCCATGGTACACGGCACCCTCGACGTGCTCGTCCAGAATCAGTATGCCAAGGAGATCGAATGGCCCAATGTCTTCAGCCGTACCCTCATTGCGTTGATGGGTGAGTTTCAAGTCGGTCCCCTTCATTCTGCTCCTCTGCTGATGACGACGGTGGGCGGTAGTGCTCTTCTTTCTTTTCTATAATCTCCATGCTTTCCCATCCAGCCCAAACCTTATCCCGGGACTGCCGGCTCGTTACCAGCATGCCATTCGACAGGCCATCTTCTTCGTGGCCGGTGTGTGGGCTGGATGCCATCTGATTTACATCACCAACAAGTTCAGTTATCTGTATATCATGAAACAGGCGCCGACTCTGGGATGTGTATGGATTTGGTCGGTCTTGGAGCTTGACCTTCCCGTGGCGGTGGCCAGCCTGGCGGTGGCAGGTGCTTATTTGCTGCAAGGAGGGTATTCCATTAAATAGGCGGTTCACGACTCGTTATTTGGACCTCGACCGCTGGGTAGACTGCGAATTGGCCCGCCGGTGGTGCCCTCGATTCGTCAACTCGCTTGGAAGCTGTTGCGAGGGACTGGATAATCGGCGCGACCTAACGGGATCGGCCAACGGTGAATCTGGACCGTGGCTGAGTCGACTCCGATGCATCAGACGATAGACGAGGCCCTCCAGCTGATGGATCTGGGCTCTCTGCTCAGATATTTGATTCTCCATACGAATAAAGCTCTCTTCAGCCTTGGCTTCCGTCCACGTCGTCCTCGATTCCAAATCTCGAATCCGACTGCGACAAATGATCAGTAATAGCGACCAACAACTCGTCAGCAAAAGTATCTTACGAAGAAATCATGCTCATTTGCGTGAACTGCACTCTTGCCGTCAATGCTTCCCTCTGGCGGACCAGCTCCAACGTTTTGGTCCGGACCGGCAGCCAAGCCATGGCAACATTGGTCGTGAAGCTCCAACTCTTGGGCACGAGAGTCCATTTACCCTGATTCTCGGCGTCTTGGCCCGCAGCCTTAGTCTCGGCCTCGGCCAGCAGTTCCAGGATCCGTTTCTCCAGCTTAATCAAATCGTCCATCACAAAGGCGTACATCTGATATTCAGGTTGGCGAGAATGGGGACCTCCCGATCTTTCACCGGCTGTGCGAACAAGATCTGATAGCCACGTGGATTCCGTTTTGAACCATGACAGCGAGGCCTTGACCCGAAAATACTCGTCGTCGCTGTTGCGCAGATATGTGATTCTGACGTACACTGCTGCGACAATAGCGACAACAAATGTGAGGATTCCGGCGACATTGGCCGCGATGGACAGAGGGCTGTCCTGCTGCGACGTCTGGTCCATCGGGATGGTCCAGAGAATGACGTTTGCGGCTCTGTTTCGGTGACGCCAAGTTTGCGAGAGAGAATTGTAACGAGGCTCGCACGCAGTCAATGTTTGACTTGCTCCCACGGGCCCGACAGCAAAGGTCCGAAGGGAGCTTGGGAAGGAGCTTCCATTTGAAGAGAAGTTTCTAGGTTCCAGGTGAAAGGTACCTACCCCTGTGCCCTGGGGCACCCGTCGCTAAGATTTTAGCGCCGTTCTTGGCTTCCCGTAGTGGGGCCGTAATTCACCTCGCTCCGGCCCCGCGTAATCTCGAATTGTCGACGACAGACTCCCGATGTTGCAGTTGATGTCCTCCGAGTTTCCGAAATGACGAGAATTCTCTATATCACTGCAGTTATGTGTGCGGTCTTTATATGCTCTCTTCCGGTTGTTGTCTCTAGATTTGACGATGCCAGTCACCTCATACACTGACGAATGTCTGGGCCAGATCTTAAGACTGGAATTCTTCATCTTTTGGTGTTGGTAAGGTAAGACCAAACAACGGCGGAACACAATTCCAAACATGAGGATCAGGTGAATCGTCTAGTAAAACGGTTCGTCTATTTGACTTGTTTCCAGAGCGCAGAACCTGTGGTGCTCTCGGGGTGTTGAACTTTGCTCACCGGAACAATCCTGTCGATTATCGGAGAAAGCCCTCGCGGAAAGAGCCCTCTTCATATTAATGAGTCGCTGCTTCCTCAGGATCAGTTGTGAAATACCAGAAATATTCTGACCGCCCTCGGTTGACCTATTATGGACGAAGGGACACACTGAATTCCCTACCCTCCTACCCTCCTACCCGGATTTCTTCCACCCTTCTTCTACTTTTTCTCTTCCCCATCCAACCAACCTTTCCAGTCTCCAATCCCAGCTATATCAACCAGACAAGCCCACCAACGAAGGTATTCCCAACTCTTCCCTAGTTACCGATCAAAGCTTCATTCTAACTAGGAATTCCAGCATCATCATCCACAATGTCTTCGCCCTACACCATCCCGTACAAGGCCACCGCCTCGACCTTTGTGCCGGGCGCCGCCGCCCACCCCCCAGCGCCCCAAGATCATGCCGCAGCGAATATGCGGACGGTCCGGCAGCCGGCGGTCGCCGGACAGCCTCTTGCTGCTGACACTAGTCACAGCAATGCCCCGGTGGCCGTGGGTGGCGCCCCTCGGGATGCCATCCCGGCGAAGTTCTCGTCGGCGGTTGAGGCCGCTGCTGGCGGTGGCATTGCCATCGCCGCCCCGGGTGGCCTCCGGGGTGTTGGTGGCCCAGCTTCGGCTGGTGCTGCTGACAGCAGCGGCCAGAGTGGCCATTGTGGTGAAGCTGTGCCCACCACCAGCACTGTGAGTCTCCTCCCTTTTATATCCTTCTTCCTGTCCCCCAATCAGTAACTGGACGTGAGAGAACAACCACAATGGCTCTTTCTTCATGTCCTCATTTCATCTCATGTTGAGTTACTGATCCTGCTTTACTGATCTGGCGCTGCCTGGGAGATCTCCAATATCTATATAAAGCCCCCTTCTCTCCCCTTTGATTCTGACTTCTTTCTTCCTCCAGACCACCACCACCACTCCCCTTGGCACTGACGGCTGTGAAGAAATGGAGCAGCAGCTCCAGACTACTCAGGCTGAGATTGCTCGGCTGAAGGCTGAGAATGCTCAGCTCAAGGCAGACAGTGCAAGAACCAAGGCCGAGAATGGGAAGTTGAGGGAGGCTATTGGCACCGCTGGTCTTGCCTTTGACGAGAACGAGGGGCTCCGGGCCGTGATTCTGCGACTTGAGAAGGTGGCATCGCACAAAGTCATCCAGAACGAGAACTTGTTCCGGCAGATGGCAGACATCCAAGGCCAGGCTCTGGCTCTGAATCAAGATCGAGACAGGCTTCGGACTAAGAACCGCCTTCTTCGAGCTGAGCTTCGCCAGGCCATCAGAACACTTCTTGGTCTCCATAGCGAGAACATGGAGCTGAAGGACAAGGAAAAGGACGCCACTATGGGTGCCCAGATCCTCACCGACATGCTTGCTGCCGTATACAACAAGATCGTTGACGACGCCCCGGACATCATGCCTACTCTTTCGGAGCGTGTGCAGAAGACCATTGAGCATGTCTACGAGAATTGGAAGGAGGAGCAGTTTCTGCAGGTATTCCACCTCGAGCAAGCGATGCAGACGACCTCTCCCTATGATCTGGTCCCTCGGCACACCCCGGTTCCTTCTCGTGGCGGTATCGAGTTCATCCCTCTTGAAGGCAACGAGGAAGATGAAGGTACCCCGAACGCCGTATCTGGTACCTCGACAGTCGTGCCCCCTGCACCGCAGCCGCAACAGCCGGTGCAGCATCAGCCCCCTCCCCATATTCCCAATCACAACATTGCCAATCCGCACGCCACTGGCTTTATACCTGGTCAGACCAACATCTTCAGGCTGATCATCGACTCCCCTGGTCAACAGTTGTATGAGAACAACATGCCCCATGTCGACAGTCCTCACACGCCTACCACCGGTGGCCCTGCCCCTCCTAATGGCGGTACTGTCAGCCTCTCCGACAACCTTTACGATCCTGATACTCCCACCCTTCATGGCGCTTCTAACGCCGTTGACGGTCGCGAGGATCCCCGCGATGGCATTACCATGACCAACGACGAACCCGAAGGTCACGAGGATCTCCAGACTCCCCAGACTCCACAAACTCCCACTCCTCTTCGGCACCATGGAGCGAATGTTCTTGGAACACCGGATGCTTGAGTGCGTCCACTGAGCTGAGTTTTCTCGATATCTTCCGATCAGGTAAGTCCTTGATGCCAATGTCTTTGATGCTTGACTTCTTTTACTGACTGATTGTTCAGGCAAGAGCAGCCACGATTCCCATGAGCGCATTGATCATGTCCACTCGCACTAATGCATGCTTGGCAGCAAGGCGTTACGACGAGTCAAAAGAGCTTTCATAGCGCATTGAGCTTTGCGACAGTTCTTCTGGGTGTCTTGGAGGTTGCGATTGCTTTAAAAAGCTTCTATCTAGGCTTCAAATTACCCTCTAGATTTCCTTGGAGTCTTGGTCCCGGCTCATTTTGGCCTTTCCGCAATCACCGCTCTTTGGTCACGACTTGGCAACAACAACAATCAAGTTGGCATACGAACTCTCCTTTTCTGTGGTACGACATTCGACTTATGCCATTAAGTATTCATAATTCTTTCTTCATCGGTTACGGCACTTCTTCTTCTCTCTTTTCTTTCGCAAGACCTGCACTTTAATACACATGGCTAGCATGTGGCAGTCGTGCATCGGCCTCTTGCATGGGAAGCTAGATTTTCTTTTCACCCCCGCCTTTAATAGACAGCATAGTTTGTCTACCGTTGGCATCGCGGGATTGGTTTCGGAACGGTTTGGTATTCAGGGCTCAGAATGGGATCATAAGGGAAAGGGATATGGCGATTGCGGCTACCAGATGGACATGCGAGGCTCACAATAGCAAGCAGGGTTAGCATACAGCAATCAGACGCTCATATCTCGTCAATGAAGTCGCTGGCATCGAGTGAATGTGTGACATGTGGTGGTCGTTGCCATTAGGCTAAGTTCTGGGCAGTGAATCTCTTGACGATAGTGTTGCTATAAAAGCTGGCCTCTCCTTCTTGAAGACTGGAGTAACCCGCTCAAACCAACCTCTAAGAGCACCACAAACCCATTGCTAGAATGACCTTACTTGATTACATCTCACATGGACGAACCACCACTACCCCCGCAGCCCACAGAGCGAGAGGGCAACCCCTCATGGGGCAGACTACGAACAGTCAGGCGAGCCCGCAACTCAACCCACGACATCCCCTGCGGCGAAGAATGCCTAGTATACCCAAAAGGTAAGACCAATCACACGCCGACCGGAATCATGGGCAAGATCGCCCGATATCTAGAACTAGACCTCGAGAGCCGACCCTCAAAGGACGACGTCTGGATGGAGAGGAAGGGGAGAAAGAGGCGTCGTGGCGGGAGACATCGGCGCTGCCCGCGGCCGAACCAGTTTCATCCAGGTGAGGAAGGAGGTTTGGAGGATGCGGAGGAGACTATGGATGGGGAGTTGATTGAGCCTGTTGCGCGGGAGGTAGGTGGCGCCGGCGGTTGTGGTGATGGTGGTGGTGAGGTTGGGAGAGTGTATCCTCCTGCTGCTGTGCGCGGCCAGGAGAGACCTGCTGATCGGGTGGCTGCCGTTTGGGGAGGTTGCGAGAATCCGGCTGCTGGGCCTGCTATCGAAGAGGCTACTCCGGTGCTTCTGTGTCCTGGACAGGCGAGGGAGGGGGAGGTGAGGCTACCTGGCGCTGTCGAGGTTCCTCGAGGTGAAGGCGCTGATCCATCTCAGAGATGGGAAGGAGGTTCCGGTCGAATTGCGACTAGTGGTCAGTGGCGGTGGTGACATATCTTTCAATTAGATAGAGTTGATATAGTTACATTATGGTTTGAGCATAATGAAGAACTGGCCTTCTTTGGGACCTTTCACGAACCCGTGGTTCTTGGAATACCTCAGGTTGGCGAAGTCGAGTGATAGACACCACTGTGACATCAGTGCATGGCCTAGAGTGAGCGATAGAAGAATCAACGGCAAGGCTTGAGTTTTCTGGAGCTATGACTGGAAACATAGGGGAGTATTCAGGCAGGCTTTTAGTCAAGGAAGATGTGATGAGCAGATTGACACATGATCTAAGAAGCAAGATGATCAACACAAGTAAATTTCAAGCAAGGCGCAGCTAATAACATTACCACTTCGGTGCACTTGCCTTCCTCTATGTATGATGTGCCTCCTATGAACTTCTGGTGTAGTTGTCTGTCTGCCTCAAGGAGTTTTCGTTGGTCGCTCGCATATCTGATGCTGTACTCTAGGCAAGGAAGTCTTGCGTATCAACAAACTTCAATTAGCCCTTCAAGTACCTAGCGTCTGGTACTGTTCAAATGAGAACATCATGATGCCAAGCGTTTCTTTTAGAAGGAGACCACACTAAAACGTCAACCATTCAAGACCGTTGAGGTAGAATTCCAGCATCGCGACACGTAAAAGACTTGAAGAGGAATTGACTCAATGCAGTTTCGACTCTGACGCCTGCCCAACACCTACCCTTAACTCGACATTCTCAAATGTTCTGAACAATTGGAATTTGAAACTCGGAAGTTTCGTTCCACGTCCCAGGCACCAGCGGCGAGTCCGCCCTCAAGTCAGCCCGCAAGGCGGCCATCGTCAGCCGCAAAACTGGGACCGCTCCGTGAAAGAACACCAAAAATCCCCCACAAAACAAGCTCCGTTCCGCACCCTCACAACGTTGCACAACCTCACTCGACTTCACTCAACGTCACCTCATCTGGCCCGGAAAAGAATAGAAGCAACATCACGTCACCAGAATTTCGCCTCAATCCTCAGCAAAGACAGCCTCGCAAACAAAAGTTACCAAAGAACACCATCATCGCCATGGCATCCAACCCCGAAACCGCTCAACCTCCACCACGAACCCAACCTCAACCGCGTCCACCACCACCCGCGTTCAACCTCACCTACCCCCCCTCCCTAGAATCTTACAACATCCCCGCGGCAACTTGGCTCACCGCAAACTCCAAATCATGGGACGGCCTCGCAACAGGCGCCCTCATCTTCTCCCCCTCGACCAACAAAATCCTCCTCCTCCAGCGCGCCGCCCACGACAGCATGCCCCTACGCTGGGAGACGCCCGGCGGTGCAGCGGACCTAGAGGACGTGAGCCTGTTTGCAGCGTGCGCGCGCGAGCTGTGGGAGGAGGCTGGGCTCGAGGCCGTGGAGATTGTGAGAATCGTAAGCGAGGGGGAGGGGAAGGACCCAGGGAGCGTGTTTACGAATCGGACTGGGACGAGGGTTTTTTGTCGGTTTGCGTTTGAGGTTACGGTGAGGGATGATGGTGATGGGGGGAGAGGGGTGGAGGAGATGGTGAGAATCGATCCGGAGGAGCATTGTGATTTTGTGTGGGCTTCTGAGGAGGAGGTGAGGAGGGAGAGGGTTGGGGAGAGGGAGATTCCGATTACGAATGGGCAGATGGCGAGGTTGATTCTTGATGGGTTCCGGAGGAGGAGAGAGGAGGTCTAGAGGGTTCATGGCTGGTGAGGAGTTGTCGAGCACAGAATGGTCGGTTGTCCTTTATGTCAACGAGGACGAGGAACTATAGAGATAGATGAGGCTCTTGGAGCAAGATCAGAAAGAATCGACACCATTACGAAGTTAGTATTGCTCCGGCATAGAGGACAGGATATCATTGCGTGAGACGAAGGAGACAACCATAATGATGATTTCATCAATGAAAGATACTCGAGTGTGCATACCGTTTGGATACTCAAATGCATTCCCATAAGCCAATATGGCGTTCTTGCCTTCGTGATGGATTACTCGCTCTCATGTATCTCTGCCAATCATCGCCTTGATACATCCGTAATCCCTAGGCATCTAATAATCAAGACATAACACCAAAGCCGAACCCACCCATACATCCTTCATGCTCACAACACCATGACTCTTAGTTCAGAGTCCCGCTCAGTAGCCCGCCCCTGCCGGAGTCCAAGGCCCTTCACGATAGATATGGTGCCGACGGCCACTGTCGCCATGAGAAACAACAACCTTGTGCTTCATAGCCCCGATGAGTGTCAGCCGCTGGTCAATATGGAATACTTTATAGAGGGCAATCAGAAAGAGAAAAGAGAAGTTCTCCAAAGAAGCGCAGCGTACTGAAAGTTTCCTTCATCGGCGTTCAACCATTCCATAAGGCTGAGTAGAGATAGCTTCACCATGGCTGCCAGACCGCGCATCTGGCGCACTTCAGCCTGGCAAGGGGACAAATAGCTTCTGGGTGTAAGATAGCTTTACTTGGATGGACTGTGAAGAGCCCAGAGGTATGAAGTGGCAGCTGGTATACTCGATATCTTGATAAACAGTGTCGGCTGACATACGAGGATATGATAGTGAAAGGTGGGGGTTCAGAAGTCATCACGGCCTTCTTCATGTCAAACATGGATACATGAGCGTCAGCTGACGCCCCAACGACACCCTTATGTTTACGAAAGGTCGCAACGTGGCGGCTGAATCCTTTCTGGGTCTTGCGAGCAATCGGAGCTTTTGCCATAATTGCCAGGCCAATCAGCGCAAACCGCTCCCAAGATGATGGGTTGAGGAATTCAGTAAGCAATTACAGGAGCGATCGCCAATAAGCTGCTGCCTACCTTGAGTGCTAAGACTTGCTCTCGCCATCTTGCAAAGTTGACTCTGATCCTACCCGTAAGATCATCAACTTTTGAAATATCAAAAGAAGCCCGCGATGCTCCCAAACCTGGGCATGATCGTCGGCCCAAGGTGTTTCTATGAAGTGCTGATCTTCGGGCGAGAGATGCCGGCGCCAGGGCGGAGCCGAAGCGAGACAGCGTTTTGCTGCGTGCAATGGGCCGAGGGATCACTACTGCGGCCCGACGCCGGCGGTAGATTGAGGCGCAGAATTCGCAACATCGGCGATTCAGGTACCAAAGTGCATGCATCTGCACGTTCGAGAGGAAGGACTTGACAAACTTGGCAGATGCCCTGTTCGACTCAGGGGTAGTTCGTGGGCTGGGTGCACTCCAGGGTCAAAGCGAGCAAGGCAAAGCGAAGCAAAGGCTTTGGGGCTTTGAGGCCTCTGCCGATCTAAGATTCTAATGAATGCATCTTGTTTGAACGTGGAGCAACAATAGTTTGGCGGCAATTTGAATTCCCTAGTAGGGCGTTCCACTGGAGGCGATGACTTGTCAATATCATGCCGAACGCGATAGCGGCTTGGTTGCTCGACTTGATTCAAGGTGCTTAGGACCGTAGCCTGGTAGCAGCGTACCGCGTCAAACGAGCTTCAGACATGACTTGATGGAGCTCAGAAGCCTCAAAGTGCGAACACCAAGCGGGCACACCGGTCATGCCGGAGCTCCGGGAGCACGGGTCTAGACCTCTGCAGACAGCCCACTAAGAGCCTTACACGGCCCGGACAGCGACCGTGGCGGATTTACTTCGTCATTTGCGGCTCAGGCTCGGTGGTGCAGAACTGTCGTGATAGCGTGGAGCGTAGTGTACAGGTAGTAGTGTCGTCTTTGTTGAGGCCAGCTCCATAGCTCCTGAGCTTCAGAGGTGGAAATGGCGCTACTACGATGATCGGCAATGCCCGACGCATACCATCATCAGGGCTGCCCAAGCCGTTGTCCTCCTCCACCCTGTAGCAGCGTAGGGGAAAATTAGCACAGTTAGTCAGGTTCCTAGCGCAGGGTCCCAATGATTGAGGCGGAATCATTGCCAAGGGGGGTCTCGAAGAGATGGAATCTATTGCTGACAGAGGTTGATTCCATGGCGTAGATCTGACAGAAACGAGCAACGGATGACACGAATGAGGCGAGCGCAAAAGTGAGTGGCCTTTGGCGTTGCCGTTTTGGGGAAGCCGGCAAGGAAACAGAGCTGAGTCTCGAACTTGAGCAATGAGGGGTCGTTGGGCGGTGAGTCCCAACATCCCCAGTCGGAGGCAGAACCGGAGAGGAAAGATGATCCGTGGAGTGGAAATAGTCTGGATTATTCGTCTGTAGGTTTTCGTAGACTGTACTCCGTATCTGTACCTGCAATGTGGATGTGGTGGGATGGTTGGTGAGGCTGCTCATTGGGCTCCGCTGAAGTTGGTTATTGGCATGCCGGGGTTTGAAAAGCCATGATCGGCGCGCCTACATCCAAGACACCCCGCGAAGGAGAAGGAGAGCGAACTACTGAAGAACGACGTGGGGTCTGCAAAGCTTTGATGGCTCATGATGCCGAAAAAAAAAACCAAAAAAAAACCAGGGACTTTGTGGATCTATGAGGCACAGTAGTGAGTATCCACGATCTCTTGATGCTGGTCTCAGTTTCGTCCAAGGACTGGACTCCATCACAATACCTATCTCAGGCTCCAGTCCTTTCGTGATGAGGCTTGATAAGTTTGACAGGCGGCTTGGTACCTAAGCTGTGGCGAGTTGCTTCGTGGAGGCGGATGGATATCCATTCTACTAGTTCGCCTTGTGCTGGGTGACACTGACGGGAGGTGAGGCTATGGGTGATGGGATTCGCTGTTGTTGTCGTGAAGATTTGCGGTGAGCTAGTTCGGGTAGGTCGTCAGTCCCAAGATTTGGATACGACTCTGCGTGCGCCTTGATTGATAGCTGGTGACCCATGGCAATAATACCAGCTGGATTTGTTTGTTGTTTTTGGCGACTCAGACTGTACATACTCTGTAGTCTGTACGGACCGTAACCGTACTCCATCCCCAGTAGTCTCTTACGCCCGCCCGATGGCAATATGGGACGACTCGAGCTTGACCGCCGCAATTGGACGTGGGTTGACATTGACAATGCATCGTTGCCAATTGGGGAGAAGTGAGAAATCTGATGGTGCGTTATCATCGCGGATGACAATGAATGGCAGATGACAGCAGCAGCGTCACATTGCGGCGAGCTTTCCGCGGAGTCCAATGCAGCAGGCGTCACGGATGCGGAAGTGCCAAAGTGCTTGTGGCTGCGTGGTAGGAACATCGATTGTGCCTACCTCACCTAGGTGCCCAGATTGCGAAGGTACCTTGCTTTACTGAAGGACCTGGGACTGCAGTACGCCTGAAAGTGGCAGTGACGATGCGGAAATGTGTTGCCGTGCTTCTTACCTGCTTTGCGAAGGTAGGTACAGCCGTACTGCTGCTTCTTTCCTGTTGCAACTTGAAGCTGTGGCTGATTGCTTCCTGCCTCTTTCTTGATGAAATCAATTGCGGCTGGCCGGCACTCTCGCGGGGCAGGAGCAAGATGCCGTGCAACCTACACTACAACTGCCTGCATCTACACGGTACACTGCTGCAGGCGCATAGGTACCCACGTACCTTCCTCAAAGGTGCAGGAAGTTACGAATCCGCGACTCACGCGGCCCCACTCCCCAGATGCTGATGACCTCAGTGGCGTCGATCCTCGATCTTGCATTCGTGGCATTGGCTGCAGCCAGCTCGACTGTGGATACCGACTTCCCCACACCTTCCCAGTCGAGTTTTCCAATCCCCATGTGCTTCTTTCCCTTTTCGCTCATGATTCCTCGGTCATCAGTCATCAGTCAGCATTTTGTTGCTCTGCCGTGTTTCCCCCCTCCCATCGTCACTCTATTGTGTGTGTTTGGTTCCATTTAGTCCCGAAAGGCATCTGTCAGCTCACTTTTTTTCCTTCTGTTCTTTCACCGGCTTCGGAAGACGACCGACCGGTAATGTGGATCTTCCGGCCCTACCGAGCCCTCTGAAGTCCGTTCTCGAGGAGATGAGGGATATGGATAGACTCTACCTACCTACTACTTCACGTGGGGAGCTGAGAAAACGAACTCGAACCATGCGATGACTTCGAATCAATTCCAAGAAGCCTCGCTCGGATCCGCGTCTGGATTCTGCTTCGGTTCACTCGCGAACCCTCAGACCCCTTGCCCGAACTCTGCTCAGCATCCTCCGTGAATGCAGTGACGCACTTTGCGTCGGCTTGTCCTTGATTTCCTCCCCGGCTTGCACAGCACGACGGCACAGCGTGGACGCCGCCCAGCTCAGCTCAACCTAGGCGGAGGCACTGGAGTAGAACACAGCTCACAATATGATCTATTCGACTCTTGCTAGCTCAATCTCGACCTCGCAGACTCATCCCCTCACACGGTTACACATGCACTTACAAGACACAAGACACCACATGCTATGCTACTTGCGGTACTCCCAACCAACTCACAACCAACTGCATGCCGCATAACCGCGCTACTGTTTCTTGTCGACCTCCAAATCTCGCGCTAGAGCCTTGTTTCGTCCATGGTCACCCAACCTGCCGCAGGCCTGCTCGCACTCACCCGCCCACCACCTCTCTAGGAAGGCTCTTGAGGCTGCTCTGTGCCTTGATCTGATGGCCTCGCCAGACTGACCCGGACACGAGACCTGCCTTACACGCGCATCTTTGGTTGACTCGCACTCTGTTGCAATGATGCGTCTGCGGTCTGTTAGGTCATAGCCAACCACTCCCTTGCGAATTCGCAAAGGTCTGTCAACCAAGTTGCGCGCAAAATACCTGTCTCGGGCGCTCTCAGGATGCTGTGGCTCTCAAGACTCTGGCCCTTGACTGGCTGCCATGTCAGACAGCTGCACCCAGCAAAAAAGGTGCCGTCATCATCTCCCTTTTTAGGGTCGTCTATCAGGCACCGGCCCGTCCTGGCGCGCTGACAAGCTTACTGTCCCTATCTCCGCCTCCCCACACTGCCGGGTGCGAATCTTCCGCTGCCTCCAACCCGGAACTACGCAAGTGTTCTCTTGGCATTTTCGTTCAACGGCCGCCGTGGTAGCTGCTGTAAGGGACTCACAGTTTTCGAGCGAGCCAGCAACTCTTGATAATACGTGGGTTCGAAAGTATTGCGAGAGTACGCAGAACAAAGACTGTAGCATAGCAATCCGAGCTCAATAAGGAGCTCCATCGAGGCCTCGTCGTTGGGCCCCAATCGAAGAGCCTACAGATCGCGGAGGATCGCACTTAAGCCCGCCAGGATATCCTCGATGCCCTTTTTCAACAGTCATCGTCAGCCCTGCAATTTTCACCGCCCGCAACTCACTGGCCAGTTCGTGGCATACTGTTGCCCTGGGGTTTCCCATGTCGAGAAGCCAAAAGACCCTCCTTCCGCCATACGTACTCCTCTTTTCCGATTAGGCCTGCTTTGGAACAGCTTTCTTCCAAGGAACAGCGCCAGTCAAGACCTTGGACTGCACTTTCTGTGCTGCGTGGCCCCCTGTTGACACCCCAGCCACTAGGCTCAATGCAATGAGCCCTAGGTCAGCCTGGCCAGCCCGAATTCTACAGTTTGGAACACCAAAGTTGAGATGGCAGAGATTGCGTCTTAATGCGAGAGAATAGGAGATGGAGAAGGCCATGATGCAAACGGGCGTGCGAGTGAAACATGGCCGTTTGGCGCCACACGGTTGGGAACTGGTGCACAGGCAAACAATCAAAGTTCCAGAGTCACAACTACTTACCTACCCTGCCTTCAACCTCTGAGCATGCGGTAATGTGTTGCGTTGCCCTTCGCCGCATCCCATCATTTCACACACACTCTTCGAACTGTCAAGTGTCAAACCTTCAGACCATCAAGCATCTCAGTGGGACGACACCCATTATTCTCGCAAGATGACTCGGACATGGCGATTTCCAAGAGAGTGTAGCGCATGACTCTCTAAAGGACCAATGAGGGTGGCGTGGGGATCTCACAGGACAGCCAGGGCACGCAGGGGTTACGGCGGTTTGGTCTTGTACTTCTTGGAAGTCTCGGCGCCGCGGCGGCCATCCATTGAAAGTCAGAGACATTTGATACTCATGCCAGGCCTCCAAGAGTCCAGCCATCCCATCAAGTCGCGTGTTTTGGCATTGCCCTACCCACAATGGCAAAGGATTCGTACCTGCGAAAACACCACACAGCGTCTCCGTGGCTCCGCAGCTGTGAATTGCGGGCCGAGTCTTGGGATATGGAATCATTGAATTTCAGCGTACGCGATATACACGGAAAAAAGGATTGCTCCGGCAATTGTCGTTCGCCGTTCGTCGGTGCCTCAGTTCTACATCTGCGAAATGGCCAGGGCAATGTTGCTCAGTAACCAACATTTGATCATTTGTCAATTGGCGGGCAAAAAGTCCGGCACGTATGCCGAAGCTCGGCAGACGGGGGGATCTGCTCATCGCCTAACTTATTTGGTGCCAGATCACGTTGATCTGTCAAAAGAGGCAGAACAGAGTTGAGACTACAACGGCACTAGGACGCAATAGACGCGCTGACACGGCACATTGAGACTTTTGGTGGCCGCGGCACGATACGTCGTGACGACTGTGCTCGAGCTTGACCCATCGTAGTGATTACCGAAGCATTTCTTCTCATCTTCCAGAAGGATATCAACAATAACGGCCGGGGGAAAAGAGGATCGCTCTATTGTTCGACATTGAGAAGTATGTACTCCGTACTCGCCAACGGATGATACGGCGCATCATTGCCCGATATTGCTTGCGGCTACGCCCTTGGATCGCGGCTCATCGCATAGACCTGCCAAGGTCTTGCTTGCCAACGAGTCCCGATAGACAGCAGGCGGCAAGGCATGGTTCGACAACATCCCAGGTGTGCCCTGGGGAGCGACCAAACGGATTCGAGACTGTCACACTTGTCTGTACCGAATACGTCGTGCTTCATGTCAAATATGAGAAAGAGCCAAAGATCTATTGGTGAAGCGGCAGACTGGAGGTAAAGATGGTATGTACATGCAAGTTGCCGATAGTTGGCATGTGTACGGAGTAGAACGCAGGCTGCTCACACATTGGTTTGTCGAATATTCGGTAGAGTCTCTCTCTCTCTCTCTTATCAAGCACCAGCCACACTGCCACGAATACAAACTCCACCAACGCCGACCACTCGCCACGCTGATCTGCATTTCTCTCTCGCATTTGGCTGGATTCCCAGTCTTCCCCGGCTATGCGCAGCCACTGCTTACTCACACAACGCAGAGGAGAAAGACATTCACTTTGACACCGTCATCACTCTCTGTTTCGCACCACTCCCTGCATCTCCAGCAAGACATGGGCAGATGCAACTCTGCAAGTGCAGGACGCCAGACAATTGGTATCCGCCCAGGCGCCAGGAAAGCCGAGCCCGGCCCAGCGCGGAGCCACAATTCAGAAGTCCCTTGCCCTTCTATTGGAAACGAGCAGCTGCGTACACTGGAAATTTGAAGAGAAAGAAAAAAAAAACCCCCAATTTCAGAGGCAGCAACCAGGGTCATACCAAGGCCTTGAATACATCATAGGTTGATCATCCGTTCACGCAAGCTCTGAGCAAGGACTTCCTGAACATCCGGCCGGCCTGCAGATGCTTGGAAGAAGACGAAGAAAGTCTGCTCCCAATTGCCCACACACTCAATGGATTGGACTGGATCGGATTGGGCTCTGCCTACTTACGGATACCTTACCTAGTTGATTCAAACCACCATACGTACCGAGGAAGGTCTGGCAGGCAATAGTTGCGCATGCCGCCAACTTTCATGGTTGCCAATGCCGTCTCTTCCATCGGTTCCGCGCTACGAATACCTCAGCTCATCCTGCGTGCCGTCCTTTTCCTGGTGTCTGTAAATAATATTCTTCTTCCTCTTACAACTACCTACACACACACACGCGAGCTACCAGAGCCATCTATCGCATTGGAATTCCGCAAGCGTCCCGTCTTATCCTTCGTCTCCCGTTATACCCGAGGGCAATAGTCCACAAACCTCGACATACCTTCAGTTAGAACCTACGTAGACATTCGCTACTAATCGCCCACGCCACTCAGACGTTCAATTCCATCTCGTCCCGCCTCGTCCGCCATTGTAAGCTATGCCTATTGCCTACGTCCCCCTGCCCTGCTCTTTTACCTTATTCACTATTTTCCTTCTTCCCCTCTTCCCAAACGTCCCATCTCATTTCAACCCATAATATACCCCCCGTCGCTTCGTCTTTTCTTGCGAAGGCCAGAGCCAAACAGAAGAAGGAAAAGAAGTCCATCCGTCCTTCTTTGGCCCCCTTATCCTGCTCCTCCCGCCCCAAATCAAGCTCGCAAGTTACCCATCCTTGGAAGAGGGGACACACAGGGCGCACACCGCACACACCGCACACCACTCACCGTGGCCGCGTCGCAGAGTCTCTTCCCCCGCCAGACAGCATCCTTGCATGCTGCTTGAGTCTACCGTCACAACCAATCCCACTATTTCGTTGGATACGCTGCGCGACAAAGCCAATTCCCACTGTTTCCATTCGGCATCCAGAACTTTGAGGTTGGGATACCGTCGCAGCAGTGAACCATCGCGACCGCTTTACCCTGCCGTACCTGGTCTTCCGGCTTGCCTGCCCACGCCTCTCCGCCTCTCACTCTCTCACTATCACTCTCATATTCACACACTTCTCTTCACCGTACGTGCGCTCCGCTCAACTGTACCTCTCTTGCTGTTCGCTCGCCTTGCTGGTACTCTCTAGCTCTCGCCTACCATTTCACATCTCCATATTCCCCCCGCCTGAACAGGGGCAGTTCCCGGGTCATCGACTCTAACCGCTTCGCCTCGCCCTCGCTTGCCTCTCCCTTCTTCCCCCATCCTACACCCCTCATCGTTGTCGACATCTTCCCTGTCGTCAACATCTCACTCGTCGATTATCGATTCTCTGGCCCATCTCATCGCTCTTTCCCCCACCAGTCACTGCAATCACGGAATCCTCACTCACCCCCCTCCCTTCTGTACCTTCACAGGTCTCTCAGGCTTCAACAGTTCGAGTGGCGTTGCGCGCGGGGCTCCCCATCTTCACTCTACTGAGGCAGTCAGAAGGTAAAACGTGAGACATCCATTCAACACGGACGGAGCCTGACTGGTCCGGACTTGTGAGAGTGTCCTGCGGTATCTTTGCCGACTTGACCTGGCCGCCCCGGGACTGGATGAGAATTGAATTTCGATTGGAGACTTTCGATGCTTGTTCCCACCTTGCTCTCGTCTATCCCACACTTTCTCCCCTCCTTCTGATCTCTCTTCCCTCCCTCCTCCCACCACGGCTGCTACTTGTTCCTGTACAAACACACACACACTCACTCACTCACTCACACTCACACTCACACTCACACTCACGCACTCACACGCACCTTATCCCGCACCCGCACCCGCATGCCGTACTGATCTTCCCGTTGTACCTAGCAACTAGACTTTCTTCTCCCGCCAAACAAGACGCAGAGATCTTGCTTTTCCTTCAGGAGGTCCGAGGGTGGAATGTGATTAAGCCTCCACCCGGCTCTTGTCACTGACTGATCGCATGCACGCCTGACTCTGACGCTGCTCAACCGGTACGTCTTGCATTTTCCTTCTAGTACCTTTCCCTCACATTCTGAGGCTGCCCGTCCCGCCTAGCGCCATCTCCATCTCGTTGTACCTTTCCATACTCCATACGCCTTTCTTTACCTTGCCTTACCGGCCGTTAGTCTTGTCTCCCAAGACCAAGACGACGCATTTCTTATGCCCCATGCCTGTCTCTCCATGTGCAGCAAGTGCTCGCACCGCGCCGTGTCCCATCACCGCTGCACATTATCACGGGCAACCCTGCATCCCACCTCAAACCCCCATCATCCCTAACTCGCCTCGATGCCCGACACTCCTTGACCCGACCTACACATCCTCGTCTCCTCTTCCTATGGATACCCTCACTTGCTTTTTGCCAGCGCATAGAACCATCTCATGCACCTAATCTGGCCAGTACCCCAGACCACTCTCCTATTGTCTCTGACCGTAGGAAACTTCCCCTACACACGCCCTTTCTAAAACTCCATACCTTAAACTTCAACCTCTCTCTTCTATTTCTTATACATACTCTGCATACCGCGCCCACTTTCTGGCTGAGTGATTCCGGACTCTTTGTCACTCGGCCACACGCTACATGTTTTTTCCTACCAGTGGTGTCTAACAATGCCGGCCACCATGACAGATTCGGAGCGATCTCGGCGTACGGAAAACTGGATTCCCACATCCACCCGAGGCGGCGTCTACTACTGCCCCAGATATCTTCTCGATCCTCCCGCTACACAACAAAATCGCCTACCAACGCCGCCCATCCGTGCTCGCCAAGTAAGACCGCGATCAATACACATCACTTCGTGGCCCTCGGGCTTTGTACCCCACGAATTACGGCCACAACCAGAACGTCCTGTCAAGAGGAGGAAACCGTCAAAAGCAGTATCCCCAACTACAACAGCGCTGGGCAAGACGTCATTGAAGTTCAGCATCAAGCAGTTCTTCTCCCTCTCTCAAAAGCAAGTGCCGAGTCGTTCTACGTCGCGCGCATCCACACTCTCCAGGCCCACGCTTTCGAGACCCCCCAGCAGAGCCGCGAGCATTCTCAATCGACTCTCTACCTATCGTGAGGTAGATTTGGTGGTTCCGGACGAAGACACAATGGCGCTACGATCTGCCGCCATGAGCGAGGCCCTGCGGCCGCCTCTGATGAGCTCTACTTACAACACACCCGGGCAGCGAAACAGCTTGATGTCGGTACGGAGCGCAAAGAGCAACGTAACATCAATGGTCACCGAGATCCCCAAGCCAATCGCCCATGGCAGCGGCGTCAGCTGCTCGATCTTGATGGCGGAACCGAACATTTTCTTGACTGGGTTCGACCACGACGGCCACAGACAACATTCACAAGGCGGCACAGCTCTCCTTCGCGGAAAGCTGCAATTGAAGGTCACGAAAAACATCAAGATCAAGGGTGTGAGCTTGAAGTTGGTGGGAAAGGCTCGCACCGAATGGCCCGAAGGAATTCCTCCCTTGAAAGTCGACCTCTATGAGGAGGAGTCGCTGCGTACGCAAGTTTTGACCTTTTTCAACGCCGTAAACGACGGGTGGGAGACCGAGTACGGGAATCAGTGTGTCTACACATTGAAGAACAGCTCCACGAATTCTTCCTCAACCAACCTCGCCTCCAGCTCTCCCCGCAACTCGATGTCGCCCTCGCTACTCTCAATACCGCCTAACCGACAGGGTCTTACCGCCAAGGAGCTGAAGCGCCTGTCTCTACAGTCAAATCAGTCGAGGAGCTTTGGCAAGGGCGACAACCCCAGCGGCAACCAGGCAAAGGGTTACAAGGTGTTTTACCCAGGTACTTATGAGTACACCTTTGAGCTGCCCATCGACCACCATCAGTTGGAGACAACTAAGCTTCAGTATGGCTCTGTGAAGTGGGAGCTGCAGGCAACCGTTGAGCGAGCTGGCGCTTTCAAGCCCAATCTTCACGGTTCCAAGGAAGTCGCCATCGTCCGCGTGCCAGACCAGCTCTCGCTTGAAATGACGGAACCCATCTCAATTAGCAGGCAATGGGAGGATCAACTCCACTACGACATTATCATTTCGGGCAAATCGTTTCCCCTGGGCACCAAAATCCCGATTGCCTTTAAGCTCACGCCGCTTGCCAAGGTTCAGGTTCACAAACTCAAGGTTTTCGTCACCGAATCGATTGAATACTGGACCAACGACCGTAGAGTTACCCGTAAAGATCCGGGTAGGAAGATTCTCCTGCTCGAGAAGACTTCTGGCAAGCCATTAGACCCTGCCTATGCGTCGTCGGATGTTCGCGTACTCAATGGTGGTGAGCTCACGCCCCGCCAGCGCCGGGAGGCCCGAGAATCTGCAGCTATGCGGCGCGCAGCCGATGCCTCTCGACACGGCGTCATGCCCGAGCCTCTCCCCGAACCAGTAGACAACATCTTGGGTGACTTGGATCTTGGACTGGAGAGTTACTGGGGGTCCACCGAAATTGAAATGAACGTTCAATTGCCGACTTGTGAGACCATGGCAAAGAGCAAGGAGATGCGCTTGCACCCCGATTGCAGTTGGAAGAATGTCAATGTGTACCACTGGATCAAGGTAAGTCTTTTTTTATCCACTTGATTACCCGCAACGACTAACAGCCATCCTAAGATCGTCATGCGGATTTCCCGCCTCGACCCTGAGGATCCCACCGGTACCAAACGCCGTCACTTTGAGATCAGCATCGACTCACCGTTCACGGTACTCAACTGCCGCGCTACCCAAGCCAACACCTCTCTTCCCGAGTACTCAGGCCCCGATGTTGGCCTGAATCAAAGCCGTCACACGTCTTGCGGCTGCCCCGATGCTGTCACTATCTCTGGTCCATCCGAGGGCTCACCCAACAATCTTTCAACCGGCGCCCTCACCGTAATGGAGGCGCCTGGTAACCTTCCCGCGCCCCCACAAGCCGCCCACCTTCCCTCCTCACCGCAACCTACAACCGGCGGTACCGGCCGGTCGTCGCCGCCGAACTCCCAAACGTCGGTTGACCCTCTCGCCGACGTACATCCCCGACCCATTCACCTACTTCGCGTGCCGTCCTACAACCCGCCTGCGTTTGATGCTGAGACGCCCCCGCCGCCCGCCGAGAACGATCAGCTTCCGCTGCAGACGCCCCCACCTCAGTACGATGTCATTGTCGGCACGCCGAGCGTTGACGGCATGGCAGACTACTTTGCTCGTCTCGCTGACTACGGCTACGACGAACCCGAGGAAGACTCTGACTCGGATGAGGGCCCGGCTCGCATCACTGAGCGTGGAGGGCGCGTCAACGTGGCGCACCCTCGCACACCCGGCGGCAGGCGCGCTCCCAGCCGCAGTATGGAGATCCAGCGCCCTCCCGTCGAACTAAGAATGGACGCTCTACCCAGCTTAAACTTGCGCAG